GCCCATGGAGGGAGACTATCACACGACAGTTTTTGTGCCTGGGGAGTCCCTGAGCTGAAAAACCAGCTTGGTCTGCAGTGCTGAGAGAGCCTCAGTCTCATCTGCTTGTTACTTGCTCTGTAATTCTGAGCAGGTGTCTTCCCCTTGGTGCTCTAGGACCTCATTTGCCCATTTAAGCCAGTGCCTGCCCCTCCTGTCCTCCTCAGGAGATAGGAGAATAAGCATAGCAAGAATAGCTGTGCTTTATTGAGCACTTACTGTGTGCAGGCACTGTTGTAGTTTTGTGAACCGGAAACCTTAGGAGAGGCAGAAGTGGATCGACATGATATGCATATCGTAGGGACGTAACTGATAGTCATTCGTTGGTGATTTCTGAGTGCCCACCCTATGTAGAGCAGTGTGCTAGGCCCCCAGAAGTGATAGTTGAGTGTTTTGAAGTTGATCATCTCATATAAAAATTTGGAAAGTATAAAGAAGAAAAAGTTGCCTATAATTCTGCCACCCAACAACATTTTTTGTGTGTTTTCCTCTACTCTTTTTCCCAATAGATTTTTCCTTCATTAGTGAGCCCATACTGCACGTGCAATGTTAAATTTCTTTAACAGCTGTTGTTTTAGGGGAACTAACACATTTTTTTAACACATCACAGTGTGCCAGGCTCTGTGCTCGCCTTCCGCACAGCATCTCATATTCTTATGGCAGCACATATCAGAAGATGTGTCTTCCTTTCTCTCACTTTTTTTTTTTTTTTTTTTTTTTTTAAAAAAAAGATGACCGGTAAGGGGATCTCAACCCTTGGCTTGGTGTTGTCAGCACCACGCTCAGCCAGTGAGCAAACCGGCCATCCCTATATAGGATCCGAACCCGTGGCCTTGGTGTTATCAGCACCGCACTCTACTGAGTGAGCCACGGGCTGGCCTCTTTCTCTCATTTTAAAGATAAGTAGACACAGGCCTGAGATTGTTAGTGACTTGCTCAAGGAACAGATGAAGGGACAGAGTCAAGATCTGAACTAGTTTCTCTCTGACTTCAAAAAAACCTATGCTCATTTCCCCACACTGTTGACTAATTGAAATATATGAGAAATAAAGCATCTGTCACCACCAGTCATTTGACCTGAATAACCATCTAAGGTGTACCTTAATCACCCAGCAGATGTCTGTAGTGCCTGCTCTGCTTAAGACACTGGGGTAGGAGAGAGATTTGGTGTTCCAGAATCAGCCTGTCCATTCATCAGAACAGTGATGGGAGTCAGGTGCCTTCTTTTCCTCTCAGGTTATGCAAGTAGTCCGAGAGCAAATCACTCGAGCTTTGCCCTCCAAACCCAACTCTTTGGATCAGTTCAAGAGCAAACTGCGTAGCCTGAGCTATTCTGAGATTCTGCGACTGCGCCAGTCTGAGAGGATGAGTCAGGATGACTTCCAGTCTCCGCCAATTGTGTAAGTGCCATCCCACATGGGAACTATGGGGGATGCGGCCCCCAGCTCTGCCTGCCTTCAAGAGCTCCACTGTCCCCATGACCTCTGCTGATTCTGGTGTGTGTCCACCCTAGGGAGCTGAGGGAGAAGATCCAGCCTGAGATCCTTGAGCTGATTAAGCAGCAACGCCTAAACCGGCTCTGTGAGGGCAGTAGCTTTCGAAAAATCGGGAATCGCCGTAGGCAAGGTGAGAGGAGACATGGGGCACTGGGAGGAGCCTGTCTGGCTGGACCCCACAGGGAGCATCCTTTTGCCCTTCGTGTGCCCGGCCCCTTCCCACGATTGCCCTTGCTCACCTGCTTGGCTTCCCTTGTGTTCCAGAACGGTTCTGGTACTGCCGTCTGGCACTGAACCACAAGGTCCTGCACTATGGTGACTTGGATGACAACCCTCAAGGAGAGGTGACATTTGAATCCCTGCAAGAGAAAAGTAGGTTTATATCTCTTTTGATGTGTCATGGTAGCTGGACTCATCAGTTCTAATCCTAGCAGTTTCAAACTGATTATCTGGTCTTAGGCCTATTATCTCTCTGGATCTGTTTTCTAACCTGTCAGAAATTGTCTCTACCTGGCCTACCTCAGGGCTGTTTGGAGAATTAATGGGACCATAGGTATGAATGTGTGTGTAGACAAAAAAAGGTGTAAGTTGAAAGGCAGTAGTTAAGAGCAAAAGCCCTGAGACCAGACTGCCTGAATTCAAATCCTGGCTTTGCCCCTAATTAACTATTAAGTTCTAATTAATCAGTTAATTCTCTCTTCTGCCTTGGTTTCTTCTCCTGTAAAATGAGCATAATAGCCACACTTTCCTCCTAAGAAGATTGCATGCGTAATGTACAATCATGTGCCACATAATGACATTTCAGTCAGTGTCTGACCACATACACTGCAGTGGTCCCATAAGATAATGACATCTATACCAGATAGCCTGTGTGTGTGTAGTTTTGTGTGAGTACACTCTATGATGTTCTCACAATGACAAAATCGCCTAACAATGCAGTTCTCAGCACATGTCCTTGTCATCAAGCAACACATGGCTTTGTACAAAGCACTTAGAAGAGAGGCTGGCAGGTAGTAAGCATAACTTAGCAGCTGCTGCTGCTGTTTGCTCTGGTGGCATTGTCATCTTCATTAATGTGAAGGGGAAGTGAGGTGAGTGTCCAAGGCCCTATTTCTTGGGGAGATAAATATAAGAGCCCTGAAGTGAGCCCCAGTTAGATTTGACACAGCCTCACCAGGCGATGGTCTATGCCAGGGAAGTGACCAAGGAGGAGGGAATGGCACAGGCCACCCTCTACCACACCCTCCCTAGATAAATATAAGAGCCCTGAAGTGAGCCCCAGTTAGATTTGACACAGCCTCACCAGGCGATAGTCTATGCCAGGGAAGTGACCAAGGAGGAGGGAATGGCACAGGCCACCCTCTACCACACCCTCCCGGGACTGATAAAGCCCTGTGAGTTTGGAGCTGAGGCTTCCAGGGCTCTATGTCCCAGTGCTTTCCTTCCAGCCCTGATGCAAGCACTGACCACGTGTAGCATAAGCCTTCAGAGACTAATTCCTGTCATTTATCAGTTCCTGTTGCAGACATTAAGGCCATCGTCACTGGGAAAGATTGTCCTCACATGAAAGAGAAAAGTGCTCTAAAGCAGAACAAGGTGAGTGGACCCGCTGTCCTCAGTTCAAGTGGCTGTCAGTGATAACTGGAGAGTACTGTTCGCGGTAGTAGCTTTTCAGGGGCATGTTTGCTCTCTTCCCTTTTCTCTTTAAATTATTTCTGAATGTTTTATTAAGAAGAATTTTGAACATACACAAAAATAGATAGAACCCCATATATGCATCGCCCAGCTTCAGCAGCCATAGCAAACTCTGCCCGTCCACTTGTCCCTCTTCCTTATTACTTTGAAGAAAATTCCAAGTATCATATCATTTCATTTGTATTTAGTATACATCTCTAAAATATAGGAACTCTTTTAAACATAATCACAATGCCATTATCACACCTAACAGGAAATAAAAAGTAATTTTTTAATATCAAATATTCCATTGATATTTGAATTTGCAACAATTATCTTATAAATGTCATAATTACTCTATGTAAAAAGATATAAATGTTTATGTAAACACACACACTTACCCACTTTGTTTAAATCAGAATCCAAATAAGGTCTACACATTATCATTAGTCTTTTAAGTTTCTTAATTCCTAAGTTCCTCTCCATTTTTTTCCATCTTTTTTCTTTGCAGTTTATTAAACTATTTTTGCTTATTTGGTAGTTTCTTAGCATCTGAATTTTGCTGATTGTCTCTCCATGGTATACTTGTTCCTCTGTCCCAGATCTGAAAATTGGTAGAGGGATCTGGAGGTCTGATCCAGTTCACAGTTGACATTTTCGTGGCAAAACTACATCGTAGGTGATACTGTGTTTTGTCAAGAGGCACATGTCTGATTATCTCTTTTTGTGATGTCAGCAGACTGGTGATGCTCAATGCCTCATTCCATTGGTAAATTGAGGTTGCAAATGAGTGAGGTTCTAATGCAGTCATTTCTTTTTATTTATTAGCTGAACTACTTCTCTGACGGGAAACTTGCCTTTATCTGCTGTTGGTTTCCCAGTGGTGCAGTTTACATAAGAAAGGAAGATAATGCTTGATTCTTATTTACCTATTTTAAAACAATGAGTTAGTTCCCTGGTTTCATTCAACAATGACTAATTTTGTGTGTGTATATGTGTTTTGTTTTTTAGTATTATTGTGAACTCATGGATTTAAGCAAATTATATTTGTTTTAATCCATTACAGTTACAGATGGTCCTGGACTTATGATGGTTCGACTTCATGATTTTTTGACTTTACAATGGTGCAAAAGCTATATGCATTCAGTAAAAACATACTTCAAGTGCCCATGTTTTTTACTTCCAGTACAGTATCCAGTAAATTACATGAGATATTCAACATTTATTACAAAATAGGCTTTGTGTTAGATGATTTTGCCCAACTGTAGGCTAATCAGTCCTGAGTTTATCAGGATGTAACCCCATCATAAGTTGAGGAACATCTGTACCTTGTTGATGCTTAAATTGTCCCCTCTTTGTCTGCAATTTTTTCCTGTGGTTTTTTTAAACTGTTAAGACTTTCCTATGCCAACTATAGCATGCTAGAAGGAGGAAGTCAGTCATCTGTGTAATATAAAATAAAAACTTTTAGGATAACACACAGTCGTGGACTCTGACATTCAAAGGTTCTGAGAGTTTAAATGACTTTTCTCCAATCTTAAAAGTATCACCACATCTTAGGTGTTAACATGGACAGGAAGTGGGAGTTAACTGATTCTGGGCCCCAGCTCCAGCCATACCTGTGTGTGTGCCTAGGGGCCCTGATGGCATCACATCTGAATCAACACATTTGGAGATGTTGCCAAGTTACTAGGACTTTGCCCAAGGTCTTGGTGTGCAGAGCCCAGGCCATTTTGTTGCTCCAAGTAACTGAAACGCTTTCTCCTTTAGGAGGTGTTGGAATTGGCCTTCTCCATCCTATATGACCCCGATGAGACCTTAAACTTCATTGCACCTAATAAGTATGAGGTGAGCAGTGTGGCACTGCCTTGGACAACAGAGCTCTCTTCGTGATTGTTCAGCTGGAGGGGACAAGTGGGCAGAACAGGAATGTTCCCTTAAACGCAGGTGGCCACAGCATACCATGAAGGCTGTTGGATGCCAAGGCCCACCACACTGTGGGCCTTTCACTCTAGAGCTAGGCTCTCCATGTTACTCTTTAGTAGCAGCTGAAGGTTGTCATTAGAAAGATAGGGTCAACTAGGGGTGATTTTTTCTCCTGGGACTAGGAAAATTCTCTTCTCTGGAAAATTCTCCAGTTTCTCCATGGCCACCTACCCAGGTGAACTCGACAACTCCTCCCTCCTCAGGGCTCCCAGTCACATGTCGTAGTGGATTCAGCCTGGGCTTCGAAGCTGGATGGATCAGATTCTTCTGACAGGTTCCATCTGCAGCACTGGAAGATTCTAGATATTAAATGAGTAACTGCAGTTGAGACCCTGTGTGCTTGATGAGCTCTGAGAGCAGCAGTGGGAACTAGAGTTGAGGCTTCTGGAGACACTTGGGCAGGGCCTGAGCTGCCAGTGGAGTTTTGTTGGGAGGAAATGAAGAACAAGCAGGAGAGGAACCAGCTGAGCAAAGGCATGGAAAAAGGTAAAGGGCAGCAGAGGGAGCAGGAGCTGTCAGGGAGCGATGGGTTGATAAGAGTTCTCTGTTATTCCTTCTTATCATGAGACCCTCCAGTTCAATTTCCTTAGTACATATTTTTTAACATTTATTGCCTAGAGATTTTTTTACTTTTAAATCCCCTCATAAAAACCAGAAGATCTCTTAAGAAAGTGAATGATCACCTCTCAATTTATCTTTGGTATTATTCCAAATCAGTTTTGCCTGTACTGAATAGTGACAAAAGGGACCACTACAAGTCAAATCAGAAAAGGGACCCTGGAAAAAAAAAAAGGGGGCCGGCCCGGTGGCGCACTGGAGAGTGCGCCGCTTGGGAGCGTGGTGGCGCTCCCGCCAAGGGTTCGGATCCCATGTGGAGACCGGTTCCCGCTCACTGGCTGAGCGCGGGGCGGGCGCAACACCGAGCTTTGCGATCCCATTGCTGGTCAGTAAAAAAAGACAAAAAGGAGAAAAAAAAAGAAAAGGGACCCTGGGTGGATCTCCTGACCCAGGGTCACCATGTGACATTTTGCAACTTGCTCCCCACAGTACTGCATCTGGATTGATGGCCTCAGTGCCCTTCTGGGGAAGGACATGTCCAGTGAGCTGACCAAGAGTGACCTGGATACCCTCCTGAGCATGGAGATGAAGCTGCGGCTCCTAGACCTGGAGAACATCCAAATTCCCGAAGCCCCGCCGCCAGTCCCCAAGGAACCCAGCAGCTATGACTTTGTCTATCACTACAGCTGAGCCTGGAGCCAGAGACGATGGTACCCAGGAAGGGATTTGGGGCCCAGGAGAATCATTCACAGTCTGGTGCCTTGTCCTTTGCTTGTACAGATTCTGTAGTGATCGTGGTGGCCAGTAAATGCCAGCCATTTCTCAAACCCACCTCGGACCACCCAGAGCTTCCTCTTCGTCCCTGTCCACTAAGAGTCATGAAGGCAGGGTGCTCTGCCCTCCCTATCATTAAGCCTGGGACTGGGCCATGAAGAATGAGCAGCAGATGCTCTTGCCTTCCAGACCAAGAAACTACTTGAACTGGATTGAACAACAGCCACTTACCTTTTCCTATTGAGCCTGCTCTCTGGTCGGCTGGACCCTCATATGTACAAGAGCTGGCCCAGGAAAGACCACCTGCAGAGGACAGATGTGCTGGGCATGTTGAGAACCTTGGAGTAACTGCCTTTGGGTGACCCGTGCCGGTGTCTCAGATCTAAGTACAGGCTTTGGGCCTTTGCTTAGTAGAAGCCTTGGGCCTTTGCTTTTGTCTTCATGAGGGTTCATTCCATCCTCATCTGGTGTCAAGATGCTGCTGCTTCTGAGGTTTGGCTCTTACATGTCTGGTCTCTAGAACCACCTGATATCTCTTGCCCATGCAAGTATCAGGGCAGATGGAAATTTCTCCTTACAAACTCTGTTTCATCCTGGCAAGTTAAAGACCTCAGGTTAAGTCCTGCCCTCTTAGTTTCCAGAAACACTGCAGGTAAAGCCCGGCTGAGGCCTGGGCCTGGATTGTGGTGAGGTCACTAGATTCCACCTCCTTCTCCCCATTTTCATATCTTTTCCTTTCTCAGGGAGAAATCTCCCACCTAATCTGAATTGCAGCCCCCTCCCTTTTCCTTTCCTTTGGCCTTCCAGACCCTGGGAAGTTTGTCTTCCCTTCCTCTCCTTCCTAGCGCTGTGGTTTTTTACCATTGGCCATGATTTCAGGGAGCTGGCTGAGGCCAGCTGAGGCCACAGCTGCGCCAATGGGGCTTCCCTGGTGCTGCAGGACTGTAAACCACACGCACAGCCTCTCTCCTTGACACAGTGGCATTCAGTATTGGTAGCTTGGCATGGTAGGTACTATCCAATGAAGAGTGTAATATATATTTTCTTTACTATAGGCCATACTTATACAGACATGTATATATATTTATATAAGATCAACCTATCCTAGGATGGAATGTTTAGGGGAACATAGAATTGAGGGGGAAAAAGTAACACTTCCAGTTGTGAGCCAAGATTGTAACCAGAGAGCAGCCAGGAGCTTCCTGTCAATAACCATGTTTTCAATAAATACTCTTTCATTTACAAACTGTGGGTCTTATTAACAGCTGTTTCTCTGCACTTGCTACCTGCCCAAGGGTGGAGAGTTCACCTTGGCATGCCTTCATTTCAGTGTGACTGGGAGGCTCTGGATAGCTCCAGCTGGAGCTCTTAGTTACCTTCAAAGAGCCCCTTTCTCCTCCTCATCCACCTTGCTCCCCCACCAACCCCCCCCCCCCCCCCCCCACCCCCCCCCCCCCCCCCCCCCCCCCCCCCCCCCCCCCCCCCCCCCCCCCCCCCCCCCCCCCCCC